TTATATACATACATGCACGCATGCATGTATGTGTACACACATCCACGCTAGCCAACAGTCTGCTGACAAGAGCACGGAGAATCACTATACCTGCGCACGCAATGTAGCTAGCAGGAGAATACAACTGGATCGCAACACAGGCATATGAGTGGCGAGAGAGCGGTCTGCTCTTGTATTGAGTATCTGAACGAGTGCTGTTGCAGGCCGTCGCCAATCCTCCTCCTACGTCTATGCCCGTGCTACTCCAAAGTATTTTCTTATACAGCGCTCCCGCTGTACCACTACCACTACTACTGCTACTCCTACTGCTACTGCTACAGCTACTGCTACTACTGCTACTGCTACTGCAGCTGCTACTGCTGCTACTGCTACTGCTACTCCGACTCCTACTACTACTACTACTACTACTACGACGACTACTACTACGACTACGGCTACGGCTACTACTACGACTACTACGACGACGACGACTACTACTACTACTACTACTACTACTACTACTCCTGCAAGCCACAGCAACAATCGAAGTCCGGTGGCACTCTCAATAGAGATTTCGAACTGGTCGTCCTGCCGCCTTGGATCTGAAAGGTTGGAGCTTTGCGGTAGCCGGTCCCTATACCTTCACCAACCATGAACCCAACCCCTTCATGAACCCTATCTAAATCCTCAACCTTGAAGCCAACTACCAGGCCCTTACTTCAGAGCGAGCCTCTCAGTGCTCCTAGCCGAGAAGCCCCGCTGTACTGTACGTCCATCAGACCTTCTAAATACATGCCTGCCTGCCCTACTGACATATTGCTTTCCCAGCTCCAATTCTTCGGCTGAGTGGCCATTGAAGCATCTGACCGAGATCGCCAGGTCGGCTGTGCAAGCAAATCCCAAATAGCACTGTCAGGAGCAGGGGAGTAATCAGCAAGGACGTCAACAGGTTGGTGAGTGAGGAAATCAAAAACTTCTCCCCATCTGCAGGGCTTACACTGGCCAGAAAAATGCTGACCACGAGGGCACAGAACGTCGTGTGGAGCGTCATATAGCTCCAAAAGACGTTCGTCCGCAGGGAGCGGGCTCTGTTCCCACCCAGGTGCACCACAGCGAGCAGCATGACAAAAGGCAGCGCCCCGAATGCTGCGGAGATCCAGGCGACCACAGCGCTGCGGACGAGCTTGTCCAGCAAGGCTTCCGGCGGTGCACACTCGGGCTGACCAGGGGCCAATGCTGTGGAGCCATAGAAAACCGCCATGATGGCCCAGCCACTATACAGCTTGGCGAGAAGCACACTGCAACGCTGGGCACAGCTGGCCTTCAGAGACGGGGTGGCAAAGCTGAACCAACGACAATGCACCTGATAAAGCATAGTCAGCTTGAAGAGGAGCTTCTGCTCGGAGAAGTGTGAGAGAATGGACCGCGCTTGCTGATGCCACCCTGTCACACCGCTCACTTGCCGCAGTCGGTTCAACTCACCGATGCCCAGCCCGATGCTCCGTTTTAGGAGTTGGCTGGCCACCCGCTTAGTTGGATGAAGGGCTCCAAGGAAATGCCTCGCTTGTCACCAGCACCGGAACGGTGTAGAATATCGGTAAGGTGATGTTTAACCCTATTGCTAATAGTAGCTGTCAAGCTACTAACTAACTAACTAACTAACTAACTAACTAACTAACTAACTAACTAACTAACTAAACTCGTCGTATAACAGTCTTGGATGCCAGGTGGCTCTTTCAGGTCAGCTACGAAGTCCTTGCGGGAGGGCCCAGCAGGTCGAAGGATTTTGATGTGCTGAAATCCTGAAAAGGCCCAGAGAACCCAATATACCTTAATTAAGGAATATACCTTAAATTGGTTTAGGGTTTAGGGTTTAGGGTTTAGGGGCCCTAATATTATGATTTAAGGTATATATTCCTTAATTAAGGGGTATTGGGTTCTCTGGGGGCTGCAGGCCGGACAGGTGCTTACACGGGAACGGTGTACTTGGAGGTTCATGGGTATAGTTATAAATGGGATTGTAAGTAGGGTAACTGTACTTATAACCCATATTCGGGGACTTCTAACCCCACTTATAACTACCCATGAACCTCCAAGTAAGCGGGGTGACACCAACGCAGAAAGGCAAGCAACCCATTACGGAACTACTTAAGGGATGATCAGGACGAGAATCCCTCCAGCGCGTCCACCCGCTCCATGTATCGCTGGTCCATGTGTTTCGCTACCAGCAACAAGCAAAGCCCCACCAGAAGCGTGATCCATTGGACCAAGGCCGGAGCTTGTAGCGCCCAATGCCACTCGAGCAGAGACTGGAGGCCTTGCACTGAGAAGATGCCGGCTGCGTTGCTACACACCAAAGTCGTCACAACGGCCGCCACGATTGCAGCGAAAAGCGAGAGGTGAGTCGTGGAGCATTGCACAAAACCGTCAGCAACGGAGAAGGTCGCTACACCCTGGCTCGACCATCGGTCCTGTTGTTCGTCCCAGTACACACATGTCACGTCGCCAGTGCCATTGACTTGTGTAATCGGGATTGTGAAATTGATAGATGCATTCAATGTTCCATTGATACTGCGCTCCCATATGCTGAGCTTGATGCTGATGGGTTGCGTGGCCAAGACATTTCCAGAAGCCCGTGTAGAAGCGCTCAAGACTTCGCTAATCTCGTCCCCTGGCTGCGCATCGCTTACGCTGATCACTGCGTATTCGGGACGAGCTGCGGATGTGAAGAGAGCGGTTGGGACAACCACGAGCGACTCACCCACCGACACTTGGATTGAGCCTGCTGCTGTCTCGTTCGGGCCAGCTCGCAGCAAGCTGGTGTAGAGCGGAGTCCCCACGTGATCATGAGGCACAGTGAGTACCGTGCCGTAAACTTCTGGTGTAGATTGCGTTGAGTTCGTGGTGTTTGAGCTCGGCTCCATCGACGTGAAAAACTGTATCGTGTCCAACTGGCTGTCTTCCAGGTCTCCCACCAGCCGAGTCGAGAGTGCTGGCAATGAGGCAGCATCTCCAGCGGTAAAAGTGACTGTAGTCTGCGTCCAAGTAGCGAATGTCCACGAGGTCGTCGTCGTAGTTGTCGTGGATGACGTCGTAATCGTTCCTGCTGAGGAGACAGATGACAAGCTGCGCGTCGTCGACGATGTTGCGGGTGACGTAGATGTGCTGCTGAGCGTGGACGTAGTGGTCGGAGGCGAGTGTAGCATTAGTGTTGTGGTGGATGTAGTGGTTGGAGGCGAGTTTAGCGTTGATGCTGTGGTGGATGACGAACTCGGGACTGACGAACTGGACGTCGAGGCTCCAGACACCGACGTGAGCGATGTGGTCATCGATGTGGATGACATGGTGATTGCCGAACTCGATGTTGATGTACTGCTTTTGAATGTCGAGGTCTCACTGAAGCTTGAAGTTGATGTGCTGCTTGTGAATGTCGATGTAGCACTTAAGCTTGTTGTG